GAAAGAGAGAGAGAGAGGAAGACGAGAGAGCAGAGAAGAGAGACCAGAGATGAATGAGCAGCAAGAGAGACGGAGAGAAGAGAGAGATAGCAGATTAGAGATAGAGCATAGAGATAGAGAATAGAGAAGAGATAGAGATAGGAGATAGAGATAGAGATAGAAGATAGAGATAGCAGATAGAGATAGAGATAGAGATAGAGATAGAGATAGAGATACGAGCATAGAGATAGAGATAGAGATTAGAGATAGAGATAGAGCATAGAGATAGAGATAGAGATAGAGATAGAGGATAGAGATAGAGATAGAGATAGAGATAGAGATAGAAGGGGATATATTGCTGCATATCAGTGACAGATGTGCTGTCGTGCGGCTTCGCTAAATTTTTAATTGTGATTTTAACTGCAGTTATTGAATTTTGCTGCTAATTGTGCGTGCGTTCATGTGCATGTGTGTCTCTGTGCGGCGTGGCGACCGCGTGCGTGCTGTGCACCCCACCGTGTGTTGTGCTGCAGTGTGCTGGTCCCGTCGTGGTACGCACGCGTTAACGACGGTTAGTCCTCACACATTATTTTATATACCTCGCCTATATGTTTCCCTCTTCGGTCTTTTGTCTGCCATCAAAACACTGCTAAAGCAGGTCTGATCGGACTCTCGGACATGATTGATTATTGATTATACACTCGAACATCGACGACGGAGAGTGACCGGCGGCTGGTCGCATGTATTTTCGGCTCCACCTTTATTGTCCGATTTAAATTTAGAGTGCGTCAAAATTATGTTGATGAGTTACGTTGATGTATGATGATTTATCGGTCCATCGGGTCGCATGCCACGTGTCGCGTGACACGTGGGACAACTATACCCCTTTCTATCTCTATCTCTATCTCTATCTCTATCTCTATCTCTATCAGGAGTGAATAATAATCGATAATAATAATATAATATAATATAATAGTACTCTATTATTATTCACTCCTGTCTTTATCTATATCTCTTCTCTCTCTCTTTCTGCCCCCTTTTAATCTTCTCTCTCTCTCGTCTCTCTCTCTCTCTCTCTCTCTCTCTCTCCTCTCTCTCTCTTTCTCTTCTCTCTCTCTCTGTGTCGCCATGATATCTGTCTCTATCTTCCTTTCTCTCTTTCTCGCTCACTCACTCTCTCTCTCCCACTCTGTTTCCTTCCCTAGAGCGCAAATGTGTGTGTGTGGTGTGTGGTTATCTACAGCCCCACGTTTTCTCTCTCTCCCCCTCTCACCCCTTCCCTGCCAACGAGCAGCCCTAACGAAGCACACATGCCAGCCTCTTGTATGTTAATAATTAATGAAAGCACGAGGGCCGGCGTCATCATCATCGCAACGTTTTGCGGCGACGATGCACGCATACGTATACTTCCCCTCTATCTACTTCGAAGATGCGCGCATCTCCGCATGCTGTCGTTCTGCATGCGCGTGCATATGCTATCCGAGCTCCACGTTTACTCAGTGCTTCGTTGCGTTCGTCAAACATTGTCATTCAAACATAATTAGCGCTGCTGTGTGCTTAGCGCTCACTGCCGGCAATGACTCGCGAGGAACCAGCCTAGCGAAGAGGAGGCTGAGCATGCGGCCCTACGTGTGGACCGTGAGTGCAGGGCTGCACCGTAAAGATAGGACGCGGGGGAAGCCAGCCTAGCCGAAAGCAGGAGGCTCAGGCTGCGCGCGTGTGCCGAGCGGGGTGCAGCGTGCTGACCGTAAAGCATAGGAGCGGGGAAGCCAGCCTAGCGAAGAGGAGGCTGAGGCATGCGGCGTGTGGAGTGAGTGCAGGGTGACCGTAAAGATAGGAGCGGGGAAGCAGTTGTGGCAGGAGGAGGAGGAGAGAGGAGCGAGGAGGAGGAGGCAGGAGGAGTGAGGAGGAGGAGGAGGAGGAGGAGAAAGAGGATGAAATTTCCGACTTCTCCGAGTTTTCTTGTGATAACGCATGGCGCCTCCCGGAGTAGGAGGAGGAGAAGGAAAGGAGGAGGAGGAGGAGGAGGAGGAGGAGGAGGAAGAAGATAGGGGCGAGAGAGTAGAGCAGATAAAAATGATGAGGGGGATATGGAGAAAGAAGCGGATGGGGAGGAGGAGGAAGGAGAAGAAGGGGACAGAAAGGGGAACAGGATGAGGAGGAGGAGGAGGAGACAGAGGCAGGAGGAGACGAGCGAGGAGGCAAGCGAGCAGGAGGCAGAGCGAGGCAGGCAGGAGGAGGAGGAGGAGGCAGGAGGAGAGGAAGGATAGCAAGAAAATAGGGGCGAGAGAGTAGAGCATATAAAAATGATTGAGGGGCTGATATGGCCAGAAAGGAAGCGGATGGCATGAGGAGGCGGGAGGGAAGAGCCAGAAAGAAGCGGACAGAAAGGAACAGGATGAGAGGAGGAGGAGGAGAGGGGGAGGCAGGAGAGCGAGGAGAGGAGGCAGGAGGAGGCAGGCAGGAGGAGGAGGCAGAGGAGGCCAGGAGCGCAGGCAGGAGGAGGAGAATAGAGGATGAAATAGCCGACTTCTAATGAGTTATTCTCTGTTGATAACGCATGGCCGCCTCCCGCTCTACCCAGACCTCCCCGTGGGCTCGTAGCTTCACGTCTACTGATGATAGGAGTTAACAGTGATAGGCTTCTGTCTCCTCATTCCCCATCACCAGCATCTCGCCCATCAGGCCGAATTTTCCCGTCGCGGCTCGAATTTCCTAAAAACACTGTTGTCTGTGCTGTGAGGCTGCGTGTTTAACCAGCTCCTCCTCCTCTCTCTCTCTCTCTCTCTCTCTCTCTCTCCTCTCGTCTCGCTTCGCTCGTGCAAAGCTTTCGCGTTACGCGTCTGATTTATTCTTAACGCCATACACGTAGCGGGCGACCAGGTGGCGTGCAGGTAGTGGAGAGAGCGAGAGAGATGCGATGAGAAAGGCAGGAGAGAGCGAGAGAGAGGCAGAGGTGGGAGAGAGAAAGAAAGAGAGAGAGAGAGAGCAGAGCGAATCGAGAGCGGCGGGAGAGAGGAGAGAGGAGAGCGGTTGGGGACGAGCAGAGAGAGAGAGAGAGAGAGAGAGAGAGAGAGAGAGGGAGAGAGAGCGAAAAAACGAGATAGCTATACATGTGCGTACATACCGAATTGACATTCGAGCTAAACAGGTGCTACTCAGCTATAGCATGAAATCAGATGTAGATAATATAATATAATAGGGAACCCTATCTATAGGGTTTCCTATTATAGATCTACTTCTGATGAGATGTAAACGCAGTGAGCTAGGTGTGTGTATAGACACCGACCGCTGCATATGTTAGGTAGCGAGGGATGAGTTGGGTTTCCGCAGCAGCACGCACGCACGCACGCACGCACGCACGCACGCACGCACGTCCCCCCCCCACACACACACGAGCACGTGTATGTGTATATGCAAGAGTAGATAATAACACATATTATTATAACGCACGTGTTATTATCTACTCTTGGTATATGTTAGGTAGAGAAGGTGGGGTGGGTGGAAGAAGGCCGCCGGTATTGGTTAGCATGTTATCATACACGGATCTCTGCACCAGCAGCCGATACATAGTGATACGTAGCAAGATAGCTTCCCCCCCGGTCATAGACTGAGAGATAGTCGAGGAGGGAGGAAGTGAGCGAGGGAGAGGGGAGACAGAGAGCGCGCGCAGAGAGAGAAAGACAAAGAGGGAGACCGAGCGAGAGTGAAGGACAGACAGAGCGAGAGAGAAAGTGAGAGAAAGAGAGATAAATAGAAATAGAGAGGAGAGAGAGAGAGAGAGAGAGAGGTAGAGAGAGTAAGAGCGCGAGAGAGAGGGAGACCGGGAGGCTTGATCAAGAGAGCAAAAAAGAGAGGATGTGTGAAAGAGTAAACGGATGTGACTGAGAGAGGTAGCGAGGGAGGGAGGAACTGAAGGAGGGTGGGTGGCAGAGAGGGAAGGGTGGTATGTGTCCCCGCATGTTTGCCATAGCGAGCGCGCCACTCACCGGACGTATTGGAAATGACAGCGAAAATTGGCAATTATCTAGTGCTGTGTTTTTGACGTGACGCGCGCATGATTCACACGATGAGTGGGAGTGGGGACTTCACCGTGTGCGTGTGCGTGCGTGCGTGCGTGCGTGTGTGTGCGTGTGAGTGAGTGCGTGCGTGCGTGCGTGTGCGTGTGGGCGTGCACACGCGCGCGTTAGTGCGATTGTGCTTGCGCGTGTTCGTGCGTGTGTGTGTGCGTGTATCTGCGTGTGTTTGTGCGCGTGGGTGTGCAGGGGTAGAAATTCGTTTGAAAATTCACAGGCCAGCCGGGCTTGTAGGTAAGGGATTTTACAGGCCCGCCAGGCAAATTTTACAGGCCGGGGACGGTTTTGCACGCTGGGGGTGGATTTTCTACGGGCCCGTTGGGCTTGCTAGTATTAGAAATGTCAGGCCCGAGCCTTAAAATATGGGCCCTTAGGATTTCGACCCATGGTGTGCTTGTGCGTGCGTGTGTGCATGTCTTTGTATGTGTAACGTCAACGCTTGCAGAGCAGGACATATACATATACTTCATACATATAGAGACTGCACATTTCCGCTTCAAAATTTGCCAAATTCCGTTTCGGAGATTACTAAATTCCACTTCAATTCCGCCTCAGCAAATTTCTACATTTTAATTCAGAAATAATTAAAATTAAGAGAAAACACTGATGGATGCCTGTTTTTTTTGTGTTTGTAGTTTTTTTTACATCTGTAATTTCTTTTGGAAGGTTAAAGTGATGAATGTAAGATAAGTTTTCATAATCATTTTGTGTGTGTTGGGAGTGATTTGAGCTGTTTTAAAGGTTATTTTTGTGTTTTGGGAGGTTATTTTTTGGTGAAACTGGTGATTCCGTTTCAGAGGGGGTGATTCCGTGATTTCCGTCCATTTTCCGTTTTCATGGAAATGTGCAGTCTCTATACATATAACGACGCTTTGTATTACTTTCCACGGTAATTTATGGGGGTTACCATAGTTCTAACATTGCCTCTCCTTCTCTCACTTACAGATTCGCGGCCAAGCAACCAGGATGCTGCGTAGATGAGGTCGGCGCCCCCTGGTGACTGACACACACACTAGCAGCATGAGTGTGCTACAGTGCTGCGTGCTGACGCTAGCTGTCGTGCTGTGCGCACTCACTGGTACGTAACCGCAACCTACACCCTAGCCCTTCCCACCTCAACCTACTCCTTGCATCCTCCCTCTGCCTCTGCCTTCTCACCTTCCCCCACTTACCCAGCCATAGTGCTGCATGTTGACACTAGTTGTCATGCTGTACTTATTTACTGGTATGTAATCTTATCACCCGTACACTCTGCCATCACTGCCTAACCGATCCTCTCTTATCCCCACCTCTTAACTCCACTCTACCATGCCCCGTGCACCCTGCCCTCCTCTCCACTGCGCTCTACCTCCATCACTATCCCCAACCTCCAATCTATCCTCATCCACCATCATATCAAGAGCGAATTAAGAAGCGTATCATAACCTTCTTAATACTCTCTTGATCATATCCCCCCCCACTCTTTACTCCCGACTACCAACTCATAAGTTCGTGTTAACCACCTACTACCGCAAATGGGGTCGTTGTCGTATCAGGTACTACAGATATGTACCCGAGGTAGTTTTTGGTTGTTTAGTATTATGTTTATATTTTTATATGAGGTATGTTTAGGGTTAGGGTTCGGGTTAGGGTTAGGGTTAGGGCTAGGGTTAGGGTTAGGGTACACTTCTGTAGTACAAGTCTGGTACACTTTGTGTATACATATATGTACCTCGGGTACATATCTGTAGTACCTGATACGACAACGACCCCTTCAGCCATACTACCACTCACCCAGCTGGCATCCACCCAGACTGCATTATATATATATATCTATTTTTTGCCAATCGCGATATTTATAATATTGCTCGGGGTTGTTGTTGACAAACACAGTGCTGTTGGTAGTCCGTAGAGCTAAAAAAGGACGAATGCTGTACCCTTGCATACCGTATCAATCTTTCCGATTGGCACTTGCATCATGTTTATAGCACAACATAGGCGCTCACGCAAAAAATCCTTTTCGTCACCGATTTTGTGTGTGCTGAAATTTGATCTAGCGCCCTTATGTTAATCAGTTTTTTAAGGAGATATTTTTTCTCCCCGCCTGCGTAGTAATTATACGCGTTCGATCACAAACAACTGCATGCTGGGAGAATTCGACAAAGAAAGAATTCCAACGCTCGCCTATCCATCTCTGAGATACTGGCCAGGGCTACCCTAGCGTAAACTGTCAATCACTACTAAACACTGGCGTGAGGCTGCCCGCACGTGTACCATTAATCAACGAACGTAATTAGGCATGCTGGAAGAAGCTGCAGTCCTTGACCATGGCACGTATTATCTGATGTTTCTAGGTGGGTGTAGATCTGCTAATCTAAGTTAGCTAATGATTAGCTGGTAAGCCGTCGGTGAATTGGCATGGTCGATATGTATTCGTGGAGTGGTTGGTGTGCATGCACGCACACGTGCGTGGCAGTGCATCTGTGTGGCGTAGAGATGGGGCCGCCATCTTGTGTATGTTCTTGTATATTGTGTTTGGTGCGACGACAGACCAGCTGCTGGTAGCGGCGGTGTACTAAGTATGTTCTTGTGTTTGTTGCGAGGACAGACCAGCTGCTGGTAGCGGCGGTGTACTAAGTATGTTCTTGTGTTTGTCGCGAGGACAGACCAGCTGCTGGGAGCGGCGGTGTACTAAGTATGTTCTTGTGTTTGTCGCGAGGACAGACCAGCTGCTGGGAGCTACGATGGACAGCCTGCTGTACAAGCCACGGGTCGTCGAGCTGTCTCCGCGCTGCGTCACCGTCAGCTGGGACCCCCTCGCATTCGTCGAAGCCCGCAACAGCACCTTGCTAGGTTACAGGTGAGCGAGCGTGCGAGCAGTTCTCGCAGGGGGCGCCACGTGTCAGCACGCTGAATTTGTGCCACTCCGGTAGTTTTATGTGGATTCGGTTTCATAATTAATAATTAATATTACTAATTATAACTCTAAAAATAATTTCTAAGCAAATATTTATAATAAGTCTAATAATTAAGTGAATAAATCAAAGAAGTGACCACAGTCAAGTGTAGCACTGTTGTTCTGTATTGGTAAACTGTAAATCATCGTTGAAACCCAAATCTAGTCGACTGGGATATATATCAACTGATCTAAACTTTACTTAAATCCAAAGTTTACACCTCATCTCCTTACACAGTTGTATAATAAAGATTGTATATGAGTGCAGACAATAACGATGTATAACAATAATAAGGTTAGAGTTGAATTGAGCTTCTAGCACAAAATGGCTCTACCGTCAGAACCATTCATGGAATACCTGATTACACAATCTTGTAGTGCTTAAGATTAGCACATAATTAAAATTCGGTGAACATTGAAAAACATAATGATTATCCATGCTCTAGCATGCGTCATTTATTACACAGGCCATGATGTTGCTGCCTTTTGTCGAAAATTGTAATTAGCATTGGTAATGTTTATCGTTAACGTGAATAATATTAATTTCATTAGATATCAAAATTAAAACTATGCGATGTCTTGCGTTCTTCTCTGCGCAGAGCAAAGTACCAGCTGATCGAGAAAAACACGAAGCCTAAGCTGAGGGAGACGTCGTCGTCGCCGACGCGGGATGAGGATGAGGAGCGCGAGCGGGATGCTGCCGACATCATCAGCCGGCCGAAGCGCGCCAAGAGCGATGCTGGCGGTAACAACAACAATGACGGCAAGCGGCGGAGGAACAAGAAGAAGAAGTCGAAGAAGAAAAAGAATAAGAATAAGAACAGGAACGATGCGTCGGCGGCGGCGGCGGGAGGAAAGCGTCGGAGGGTGGGGTGGACGATGGACGACGAGTGTAGCGGTGGAGCGGAGATCAACAGCTGTCACGTCTGTAACCTCACCGCCGGTGAGTCATCGTTAACTATACAACAGTAGCAGCAGCAGCTGCTGCATGCTCCTCCTTATCTTCCTCTTCCTCCGCCTCCTCCTCCGCTTCCTCCCCTTTCTCCTCCTATATTTCTGCTTACCACTCCACCAGCTCATGTTTCTGCTCATATTTGCCTTCCTCTTGCCCCTCCTCATTGTCATTATCCTTTTCCTCGTCCTGTGCTTCACCTTCTACTGCCTCCTGCTCATCGTCTTCCTGATCCTCTACTTCTTCTCTTCCTCCGCCTCCTCTTTTTTCCTTTCTCTGCCTCCTCTTCTTTTTTCCCTTCTCTCCCTCCTCCTCTTCTTCTCTTCCTCTCCCTCCTCCCCTTCTTTCCTTTCTCTGCCTCCTCCTCTTCTTTCCTTTCTCGGCCTCCTCCTCTTCTTTCCTTTCTCTGCCTCCTCCTCTTCATTCCTTTCTCCGCCTCCTCCTCCTCTTGTGCTTGACCTCCTTTTCCTCATCTTCCTCTACTTTGGGTAGTCTCCTCCTGTTCCTCTCATTTTTGGATTAAACATCCAACGAGTTAGCAATTAAACTTCCTCCGAGCTAGCGACGTTGATACTTTATGCTGTTCTCGCCTTCTCTCCCCCTGCGGCACAGACCACAAGTACAAGTTTCGTGTGGAGGCTAACTACCAGACGGGCATGCGTGTGCAGAGTGAGAGCTCAACTTCCCTCGTCGTTGGCCTGCCGCCTGAGCAGCCCTACATCACGGCTATCACGCCCGTCGACCACGAGACCCTGGAAATCACGTGGCAGGTAGGCACGCACGCACGCACGCACGCACGCACGCACACGCACACACATAAGTAGTTATGTGACGGGGTGTGTGTTATAGCGTGTTGCGTCATGTGATTTCATGCTGTCATTTCATATCATTTGTAGATACCGTTTTGAGTTCGTAATGTACTGTCATGATATGCTTTTGGTATCATATACCTGTATTTTCTCTATGTGTCATGAATAATTTTAGAGCGCATAGCAGAGTTTACATATCTTTACACACACAAGCACAGGGTTTGCTCGTGAATTAATATACAATATTCTATGTTTATATATACTAGCGGGATACCCGGCGTTGCCCCGGGGAAATCAGTGGCGTTACTCAGTTGGTGACCGCTTGGTTGAAAGGAAAATACCCCAAAAAATCGAACTATCTATCTATCCTTTCATCCATCCATGCATCCATCCATCCATCCATCCATCCATCCATCCATCCCATTCCATGCCATCCCATCCCATCCCATCGCACCAAATCCTATCCCATCCTATATCCCATCCCATCCCATCCCATCTCCCATCCCATCCCATCCCATA